GCGCCTCGCTCAGCCAGTGAGCGGGAACCGGTCTGTATGTGGGATCCGAACCCTCGGGCGGGAGCGCCGCCGCGCTTCCCAAGCGGCGTACTATCCAGTGCGCCACCGGGCCGGCCCCTAACATTTTTTAACTGCCTATAAATTACCAGTTCTTCCAGTGCCCTTTAAGTAATATTTACCATCTTATAGGTTTTCTCACAAATTGACAAGTTGAATAAAATCTATATTTTGTACAAGAGTCACGTTTTAATATTTTGAAGATTATACTTGCACAAAGGTGAACCCAGCAGAGAAGAGGGTTAGAGTCCTGCTGAAGGCCTGACCTGGTACAGGGACCTCGTGTGTTCCGAGTTGGATAGCAGGTGACCAGCTTCCTCCCTTGCCCCACTGGGCCCTCTCCACCCCCACAAATCTGGCTAATCCTGGGAAAGCTCAGCAACCAGGGTCCTTCCCTTTCTAGGAGTCAGGTCCACCATCGTCAGAAGCCATACCTTAGGAGCACCCCGTAGAGCTGCCTGAAAATGATCCCCTGTCTGGGAAGTGTGTGAATCTCAGAATCAGGCCTCGTCTCAGCCCAACAGATTCTCTGAAGTGAAATAGGAATGTCCGTCTTGGATGCCCCACTTGACTCAAGTGAAGTGTCCTTTAAAAATTTATCTGGAAACTAGATTTTCATAAATTGTATTTTCCCACTGATGGACATTTTGGTATTTGTCAATCCTAGTTCCATCTCAGAGGCTTGGAATGAACACTTGGTTCATTCCAAAGGGCCCACTTCCTGGGCGCTTTCCTGAGACCACCGTGGGGCCAGCTGCACAGAGTACCAGGGTCCCCGCACTCGTGGCCAGCAGGGTTCAGGAATAATCTCGCCTGCCCCACTTGCTGCTGTCAGAAGGGTGAAGCCTCCAGGTATAACAACCAGGTAACGGCTCCTCCTCCCTGCCCTACTCACTGTGGAGCACCCTGTGAGAAGACGTGGATCTGCATTTGGCTCCTGTCTGCATTCAGGGGTCTCTGTGCCCCTAGGCTGGAGGACCTCCACTCTGCCCCCACCAGCAGGCTCAGGCCTGCCGCACCACCTCTCTACCACCAGCTTGTTTCCTTGGGCCCTATCTGTTTCTACACACTTGACCTTTGTTGCTCCATGCATTTCCTAGAATGGCCTAGAAGATCCCACTTCTCTATCCTTAATTCCAAAGTCATACCCATCTAGATGCCTGGGCATCAGACCCCCTTAAATCTTGGCCCCTGCCTGGCTCTGGCTCACATCTGTCGGGTCCTGCTTGGACTGTATTGGACCGTATCTCTGATTTTTACCTCCTCCTAGCGGGGCCAGGGCTCTGATGAAAGCACACACAAAGGATCAGGGCAGCATCCATAGAAACGAGCCCTGCCATATGTTTTTTACAAAGGGAAGAGTTTGGAGATTCTTTAACTTGGGCAAGCTGCAGTGACAATGATTTGAGCCCATACTGGTACACACAGGACTATTCACATCAGGCCAGAACAGGATGTTTTGGAGTTCTAGTGACCCTGCCCACCCTTCTGTGGGAATCTTGGATCAGCCCCTTGGCTTTTGTTTTCAACTTTTGACATTAACTGTCTGTGCAGCTGAGATCAGTCCTGAATCCCCACCCCTCTCTCCACAAAGAATAGAGCACTCCACCCCCCAAGCCTGCCTTTTGGTGAATGGCACGGTTATAGGGAGAGAGGTGAGTGAGGCAGATCTTAGTTCAGACATCCCTTGCAAAGAAGAGGAGAAGTTTCCCTTCTGTTAAAAACCAGCTCTGACTACAACCTCAAATGTTTCCTCCTTTCTCCAGGACCACAACGGGGTAGAGAAAACTCAGAACTGTCCAGTCCCCACATTTCTGTAGGCATACCACAATACTTTGGAATTTACCTTGTTGTAACAGGTCAGATGACTGCCTTCAGGCGGCTGGTCGAAGCTGACAGGTACCTCTTCTGCCTCGCTGGACCGAGACCATACTCCAGGGCTGCTGGGGGTAGAAGGTGGGCTGTGAAATGGCGACACCGTGGCCTTGAGTACGGGACTCTTAGGTGAGGCCCCTGGCAGCAGAGCTGCGGGATCAAAGGTTAAATTGGCCTGTTGAGAAAAGATGAGAAATTTCAAATAGGGGTGGGGAGAAGACAACAGCTTCTACTCTAGCTTGTTGGTTACCTGGCCTCAGAACTGGTGGAGACTAGGCAACATGAGGTTCTCCATGTCACTTTCCAAGCAATTACCTATTGTCATGTCACATCCTTCTCCTGGAAGCATTGCCTACTCAATCCATCTCCTGCCACCTGGCTTGCCACAGGCTGCATTCCAGAATGCCCAGACAGCATTAATGTGCACCCAGCAAAAAGGCCCTGGAAGAGCCCCAAATTACAAAGTGGCCAAAATAGCAACCTGCAGGCACCAGGACCTTGCAGCAAATCAGCACCCGTGATCAGCTTTCTCATCAGCGTCAATAGCAGTTACTGCTTTCTGGATGCCTACTATTGCCAGGCACATGCAGCCATTTCCTCGACAATGACCCTAAATGTGCAATTTTGTCCTCATTGCACAAATTAGGACAGTGGCTAAAGAATCTGCCCTGAGATCCATGCCACATCTGTTTGTCCCTCAAGCCTCCAGGTACCAGGTTTTCTCTTGGTAGACGTCCAGAGTGGTGGACACAGCGGGCTGCTGAGCTCTTGCAGGAGTGAGGCAGCAGAACGGATGAGTGGGAGCCACCACTGGCAGCATCCCAGCGCAGGTGAGACCAGATCAGTGAACCCTCACAGTGAGCAAACAGGAGAGTTGCCCAAAGGTAACCAAAGCTTTGAGGGAGTCTTGAGTCTGGTGGGGGAGGAGGCGGGTGGTCCCAAATCCACTCTACTCAGGAGAAGGTGGTGGTGTCTGAATGTGTCCATGCAGTAACTGTGAGTGTCTGAATCCTCTTTAGCGCCATCAAGGGACGCTCCTCTTCCTCCTGCCTGGGCATTTCCAAATCACCGCTTGGCTGCATCCTCCAGACCCTGTGGCCAGCCATGCAGGACCAGGAGAGATGGCAGTAAGACCCCACAGAGGAGGGACAGAGCTTGAGGGGCAGATGGAGCAATGCAAAGTGCATGGGTTCAGCATGCTGACAGACCTGACTCCAAATACTGGATCTTTCACTTAATAGCTGTGTGACCTTTGGCAAATCCAATAGCCTCTCTGAGCCTTGGATTCATTTGTTCAGACTTCTTAGTCTAACCTCCAAATTCTCTTACATCTGGTCTCTGTTAATCTCTCCATTGCTCCTCCACTAATACTCCACACTCACACCATCTCCCTTCCAACTCCCCTCGGCCACACTCTCCCACCAGCCAAGACTGTTGCCTTGGAGAACTCCTACGTGCACACTAGGACTTGCAGACTATAAAGCATTATACATGTTTAAGAAGGTGTTTGTAATTTTACTGTGCTCTTAAGAAAGAACTTCTAATACAGACAAGACTGAGTCATCGTAAAAATTAAATGTATAAAAAATGTAAAAGTTAAATAGCAATACTGTGAGCTCAAGCCAGGTAAAAAAAACAGCATATAATGAAGACCAAGGGAAGCGTTTGAATCACAGATGCTGTGGGAGTTGATGTGCTGGGATAACTCAGAGGGCTTCATGGCAGAGGGGGCTCTAAATAGGCATTAAAGGGGGTTCCCCTCCCATCTAAAATTCCAGCAGGGAAATTCCCTCTGTAAGACTGCTCGAAAATAAAACTCCCAGCCAGCAGAAAATTTGAATGTTAAATTACGGACTATTTTAGTGAAAAAAAAAATTATAGTTCATATCTCACTCAATTGAATATTTAGAAGAAAATCTAGCTGATGATGCATTTCTCAGTTCTTTCCCCTACAGATTCTCAACAAAGTAAGGTTCTTATGGTATTTGGCCAAATTGCTACACTATCACTGATATTTTTAATGAGATTAAACAATTAGAGATCAAACCTCATTCTCAAGTTGCTGTGTTTCCCAAAGAGCCTCATTAATGACTGGAAAAAGGAACAAGAGCAAGACTACAGGGTACAGAACATTTGGAAACTAATTTCTGGCACTTGAATGAGGGCTGTGGTGGGCTGCAAGGAGGCCGAGGTGGGGTAGGGGTCCTGAGCTGCACCCGTCAGCTGGCTGCTAGGAGGCATGTTGGAGTTCTGGGATCCACACTGAGAGATCCCTGAGAGATGGGAGTCCTGCAGTCTCCGGGGGTGACAGGGAGCACCACCCTCTTTCTGCAGCTGGGGCAGAATCAGGGCCCCATACCTAATTTACTATGAATTCAATTTCAGGGGAGACACTGCAGAATCCTCACCCTCCATAGGGTAGGCTCATGGTTGGAAACCAGGGATGCTTTCTTTAACCCCAGATCAGGCTGGGAACCAAATCCCCTGGGCTCTCCTATGGCTGGGAACTTCAGAGGCTGTGGCTTTTTGCCTTGACATCCCCCTAATGGCTTCAGAACCATCAAGTTGATAAGCCAGTTTCTTAGTTGGGCCTGGATGAGAGGACACAGTGCAGGAGAACCTCACTCCTTCTCCTGAGTGGCTGGACAGAGGCTTCGGTGGATGCAGGAGCCTCTCCCACAGGCCTCCCCTGGACATGTCATAACCACCATCCTCTGCACTTGAGCTCACCCTGTTCTGACACTGGGAGCACCTTTCTCCCTCCTTTCCAGCTACTCATCCTTTAAGGACCGGCTCAGGGCATAGGTGTTTCATAAAGCAGTCATTAATTACTCCTGCCCACTCCACCCTCTTCTGGCTCTGAAATCCTAGAGCAGTGGTTCTCACCAGGGGTGGGATGGAGGAAGATTTTGCCCCCAGGGGACACTTGGCAATGTCTAGAGACATTTTTCTTTGTCATAACTTATTGGAGAGTACTAATGGCATCTAGTGGGTAGGACCAGGGATGCTGCTAAACATCTTGCAATGCACAAGACAGACGCCCCACAACAAAAAATCCAGCTCAAATAATACCAGGGCTGAGAAGCACCGGTCTAGACCATAGGAGCTTGGCAGTTACACACAACTGGGATCTCTGTTATTGACTTCTATATGACTTTTCTTGTATCAGTTGTGAAAATCTTGTCTCCCCAACAAGAAGGCAGTGTCTTCTGCTCCATTTACACTCCCAGGGAGCCAGCGCAGCCATGGGCACCGTGGGTGAGGGCTCGGGGTACACTGGGTGAGTGGCGGAGAGGCAACGAGTGTTTCTTGCAACTATAATGTCCTTTTCCCATAGAACTCTTGAAGCATCCCATTATCTATCTACCACCATTAGGGGTTAACTACATAAACTCATGCTTGATATGGTCCTTATGTCAGCCCTTTGCCCCCAGGTGAGGGCTGTGAGATCCTCATCCTTTAGGGCAATTTGGTCACTAGCTGGTTATCAGAGGCCAACTATCCATGCACAGGGGCTTCTTCTAGGTGCCCCAAAGACACATGTTTTGGATAAGAAGTGGGGTTGGATAAAAGGTCGCAGTGAGTCATGCATTCTGCACTTACCTGAAGTTTCTCAATCAGAGGTGAGCTCTTCACCTTGATTTTTGGAGGGTGGTTCGCATTGGGTGGTGATTTCTATAGAGCAAACAGATCAAAACAACTGAAGTGACTGGGATGAAGGGCAGTGGGGTTTGGGCTGGAGCCCAGAAGCCACAGGTGGAGGGAGAGGAGGAAAGGCTGGTTCCACCACTTCACTCCTCTCTTTCAGTAGCCCACTTATCCCATCAGGGCCCAGGTGAGGCGGGCTCACCTTTTCTCCCTCCCTCATCTCACCACGAGCAAGACCCCTCACATCTGTGACTCAGAGAAGTCAGAGCAGACGTCCACAGCACAGGAGGTCACCTGTCCCAGGAAGAATGACTTCGCTGTCACTGTGAGGGAACACTAGCCTGAGGGGAGCAAGATTTTCACCTCATGACCTTCAACAGTGCGAATCAACAATTGGAGGGGATTTCAAAGATAAAGGGCAAAAGTGACTGTCCATTCTGTTTGTTATAAATGAAACAAGAAATCACAGACCAGGAGTGAAACCTGACAGAAGTATTATTGAAATTCCTCCCTGGAACTAATGATATTTTGGAAAACCCCACCAATGGCATTGTTAATAAACTGTCATTTCCTAAAACGTTGAACATTCATTTTAATTAAGCAGACATTTATTATCTATGACATTCCAGGCATGGTGTTGGTTATATTAAGGTGAATGTTATTTAGTTTCTGCTCTCTAAGAGTGGTCAATGGCTGATGTATGTGTGACATAACCATATGTATACTCTGTGGGTTGTAGATATTTTTGTGATGAATGTGTATCAGGAATCTTGTCTGCCTTTGGATTCTACATTATCTACAAAGATTGATTCCTTGTGTTGTGTAAAATCCCCACAACTATGTGAGAATGATGACAGTGACACGATGATGCTGAGGAAGAAGAGGACTTCCACATTGTTGGACAGAGGCCAAAGCAGAGAAGGGATTTTCCTATAGTTTAGAGCCCAACATGTAATTACTTGCCCCTCACCCCATGTGCTAATTTACCTGAATCATCATCATCAGAACACTGATCTCTTAGAAATATTCTGAGATATTATTGAGTGAGATACTTGTATTTTAGTGATGAAAAGAGGAGATTTACTCAATTTAACTCTTTGTCACCCTTTAAAGGCAAAACACCAAGGGAGAGCAAGCCGGAGTGGGACAGTCACTGGCTGGGACTCAGGGGACCCCCTTCTAATTCTGGCTTTGGCAGGAGCCAGATGGATGTCCCTGGCCTCAGCCTCCTCTACCAAAATATAGGTGGATTGGAATAAATGATTCTGTGAGCTCTTCCAGCTCTGAGGTGCCTCTGCCCCATGAGTTGACACTGTCAGATGTATTCCTAGAGCAGTCTTCCCAGAAGCCTTTTGCCTATGGTGAGTACAAAAAGCTTCCAGCCCCAGTTGGGTTGTCATTAGTTTCTGTGATTTACAGTGATTTCACATGGGCCACTGTTTTTGTGTATCTTTTGGTGGCTGGCAGTAAGGGGATACGAACCCCAAGGTGTTACAACACCATGCTCTGACCAACTGAACTAACCAGCCAGCTCAGGCCAGTGTTTTTGAAGATACTCTTTCAGAAACTGCAGCAATTTTGCGATAAAGCTTACTTTATGTAATACTATAAACTCTTTTCTTATCCAAATGACCACTATCTTCTGAAGACAGTAAAAATCTAATAAACACTGCCCCTTAATCAGAGGACAGTGCTGGGGACTCAGCTGATGCTCCACAAAACCCTTATTGATTTGAACTGCAAAGTAAGAGTCTAAACAGCTGCTAATGCAGTTCCTAGAAAGAGCAGTAGGTGGCAGCCTTTCCTTTACAGTTTAACAAATGGCTGCAGGCAAGTGGCTGGGGCTAACGATTGGTGCAGAAAAACCAGCCCTACATTCCTATATATGTATGTATATATGTATTTATATGACATTCCTATAATGATCTAGAAATTATGGGCCTAATTTTTCAGATGGAGGTGTTTTTCAGCCCTTTTGTTGAGCAAATGAGACAGGATCTGCAGCTGCATGTAAGAGACCCTTTTGGCTGGGTTCTCCAGAGAGGAGTAACTCCTGGTCACCCTGCCTCCAAGAAGGGCCCTGCAGTCAGCAGGTACTGCCCAGGATGCTGACCCCACTGTCTGAGGCCCGAGCAGACATAGGGAGGGGGCAGGAATGAAGAAGGGATGAAATGATCCTTCCTGACACTGTGCCTTAGGAACCGAGGTGCAGCCTGACCAGGGGGCCCTCCCTTCAGGACCCCAGAGTTTCCAGCGTTAGAGCTTCTGCAGGCTGTACTATAGGAGCACAGAAGTGTGGGCAGCAGACTGCATTCCAGCCCAGCCAAAGCTGGCCGCTCATTTTATTGCAATGTGTATTTCAAGGTGATGGAAGTCATTGATCCCTGGAGGTAGTGCTCTTCCTATGTGCAAGCAGCCTGTCACTCCAGGCAGGATTTTCAGTCTAAAGTCCTATCTCCTATTCACCCAACGTTTGGCCATTTTATGCCATTTAACTTCTGGGTGATGTGCCCCATGGGATGAAACCTGTAAGTTTATTTGTACAGAGCCTCTGAAATAGAGCTGTTTCATCTAGTCACCACTAACCTGCCTCACTCTGCTTTCATTCCAGGGAATAAAACTACTCCTTCCAGCCTCCATAATCTATCTGGTTAGTGTTCTTGTCCTCATTTTACAAATAAGGAACCGAATTCAGCATGGTGCAATGACTTCTCCTAGGCTGAACCCGGGTTATCAGGGGGCAGCCTCATGTAAAGCTCCAAGTGGTGACAGCCTCAGCCTGTTGCACAACAGCAGAGACACCAAGCCCAGAGGGTGGGAGGCGACAAGGTGAAGTTGACTCTCTGTAAAGAGAAGTTGTTGGTACATATTTGGTAATAGTATTGGCTGATAACCCCATGAAGCCACAAAATCATGTCAGCGCTTGAAGGGATCCCAACAAAAAACTCAGTGTTTTAAAAAGTGCGCTCCTTGGGGTTCTCACCCTAGAATAAGACCTTTGTTGAGTGGAGGAGGGGGAAGTATTCTCAGAGCAGATGGGGCTCCAGACCCCCCTCCACCTTCACTTGACCATGAGCAGCTATGAGTTTCTGCTTTATCTGATGTGCTTCTGCTTATAAGCCTTGGGTTGACAAAAAGGTTTGAAAACCATAGCTCTGCTTCAACTGTTTCACTCTATAGACAAGAAAATGTAGGCACCAAGAGAGTTGCCCAAGTTCATACAGTTAGCCAGTGTCTATTGTCAGGATGCTGGTCCCCAAAAGAGAAGGGGAGGAAAAAAAAGAAGTGGTTGAAGTGGGATTTGGGAACTGAACCGGCTTTGGCTTGCTTGCTTTATTTTGGGGGTGGCCTCCCTGGCTGCATGACAGCACATGCAAATTCATTTCTGGCACAGACCATGCCCACAGTGAAGTTTCATGGGCTGCTGGGATAGGACAGGGAGAAGTCACTCTTATGGCTACAATTAGATAAATGAGGACAGATGAATATGCAGACTGGGAACTTATTACTGGCTATGATCTATGATATCAGAGCCTTTATTATGTTGGTAACATCAGCTATTTATATCTGAGGGCTTTGAGGCCTCCTGTGTGTTCTGGTTTTCTTCCAATGAGCCAGAACAATGGCCAGCCTTTGCAAGGCTACTGCAGAACTACAGGATCCTCTCACATTACCATCCTACCTTGCATAGGGTAGCCCCTCTTTCCAGGGGCCTTCGTCACACCTTACTCCCAGATCATCTAGGTCAGACCTGGGAATAAAGCATAACTTTCCCGACTCCTGAATCTGGTGTGATAATATATGGCCCATTCTCTTTGCTGAAATTCTCAAGCTTGAAAAATAGTGTTCCTGTCCTTGACAAATCATAAAGGAGGCTCAGTATGAGAGTTAGGGCAGAGCCCAGATTCCAAAGTAAAGGATTCAGGAAGCATTAAAAGAAGATTCATCCTTGAATCAGAAATGGAGAAATTCCCTACATAGATTTCAAGGTCTAAAAGTGTGATTTTTGTGTCCCCTCCTATAAGGAGAAAGAAAACCCATAACCAGCATCCTCTGAGCCCAGCAGCAACAGCACTTACCTCCTCTCCATTCTGGCCCATCTCTACCTTGGGGGGGAACAGAGGGAGGGAACAGGGCGGTTTCCTTCTTGTTGGTTTACTGACTGGTGTCTGCAGAAAGGGCGACAGACAGACACACAGACAGAAAAAAAGAGAGCTAATCAGGCAACAGGGAGGGAAAGGAAGGAAGTGGGAGGTTTTAGGAATGCTTAGGGATGTTTACGATGTTTAAGAATGGAGGGAAGGATTGGGTGTCTCTGGGACTGTCCATTTACTGTTTAAACTAGTTGCATTCAGCCATCTGCCCATTTGGACTTCCAGCCTCTCCTCTCCTGTTCCTTTTCTGCTGGAACAGCCTCTTTTACTTGACATTCATTGACTGAACTGACATCTCAAAAATGCACTCAGCTTTCAGGCAGTGCCAGCACCTTAGATGACTGTCATCTTCTTTATCCTTTATGACATTCCTATAATGTCTTAGAAATTATAGACCCAGCTTTTCAGATGAGAAAACAATAGTGCATTTAAAAGCAAGGCAGCTAAGTTCTCATTTGCCCAAGGGCTGTAATAGACTTCCCCCCACCTTAGCGTCCCCTTCCCCCATCTCACTTCTAATGAGCTCCTCACACTGTATGACTCAAGAAAATCTAGCCTAAATCTCTCCAAAGTTATGACACCCCTTTTCACGCTTTGTTCTTCATCAGGAATCTTCTAGAATCCATTGCTCACTGGATCCCTTTCCTTCCTGATCCCTTGTTTTCTATGGGAATGTGCTTCCCTTCCAGTCCTCTCTTCAATTCTCCATTCAGAATCTGCCCCAGCCTTGCCTTGCTCTGATTCCCAGGCTATGGGGCAGGAGCCAGGTGTGGGACCTCTTCATTCTGAACCAGTCCAGGGCTAGCACCGCTGCTCAAGAGGAGCAAGATGAAAAAGAGTCCAGATCCCATCTCTGACGGTCGGGCCTTTCAGGTCTCTGCCCTGTTTCTTACCCCTCCTTGCCAGAGTGTAAGCCTCACTCTGGTGGGGAAAGATTCTGCACAGGCACAGCAGTGGTGGCGACATTCCGCACATTCAGAGGGACCCCTCTCTGGCTTCTCTTCCTAATTTGGTAATTACCAAGCCTCCTCCCTCCCTCTGCTCTGGGCCTGTCCCAGACTTCCCCCTTCCTCCAGCCCCCCTCCCAGAAGAGGGTGCTCGGCTGCCTCCTGACTCACCTCCTTTGCTGCAGCTGCCTGCTCCCTAAACCGCCCAGCCAGCTGGGCCACCGAGGGGGGCGCCGAGTTGTCTACACGGGCATTGGTCTCTGCTGGTCTTTCCTGGTAAACCAAGAAGAAGCAAAAATTAATCAGCAAACGTGCACTTGGACTTCTAGGTGTCAGGTACCCGGAGCCTTGCAAGGCACTTGTTTTGTGGCCGCAAGCAGGAATGCTATGACAATGAGGTATTTTTAACAGCATTTTGCATTCGGCCCCTGCATTTAAAGATTTTTAAAAACTATCCAGTCAACCACATTTTGTGAATATCTTCTACCATGTTCTCAGCCCTGGGTGTGGCTCTGGGGACCTGGAGGCAAATAAAACTTGGTTCTGTCCCGGAGGAGTGCCCAGGGATCTCAGAGGCAGGAAAGGCAAGGGGTTTCTCATTCTGCAAAGACCCCGCTAGAAAAGGGCTACATCTGCAACAGTGTAGGAGGCTCCTTTCCCTTGTTCCCCTCCTTTGAAAAATGAGGGCTGGCAAAATGCATTTGGAGAGAGGGGTCTTCAAGTGTATAAAATGGGGTGAGCAAGTGTCCTTTATCGAACTTTGAACTCATATGTATGTGTCTTGTCTTTCCTACTTAACCCAGTTCCTTGGGCAAAGAAGTGTTCAGTAAATGTTTATTGAATTAGTAAATAAATGACACGAGAGGCAGGAGGCATAGCAAGTGAGAACCAGACTGCCTGGGATCAACCACTGACTTGCTAGTTCGGTGACCTTGGGCAAATGGCTTAACCTCTCTGTGCCTTGACAGGATAACAACATCACATCATTCAGAAGGTTGTTCTGTGAATTAAATGATTTACGAGATATCTGAAGTGCTGGGACGAGGCCTGGCACACTGCAAGTGAGAGCAAGGGTGGTTGCTACTATTACTGGCCATGGGTCCTGCCTCCAGCTCAGGCCATCAGTTTACTGTGGCTGTCCCTCCCTCAAGGTGCCTGAAGGCTCCCCGAAGAGGCCAAGATGCACCCCTGGACACTGTCCACTTCCATGTGCTGTTTGTCACCAAGACACAGAGGGTGAGTCAGCAATGCTGGGAATGGCCCTGTTACATGCGGCCTGCTAAACCACCTGTATTTAATCATGTTTTTCAGATGTCCATCCCAGAGACATTAGGCTTTTGTTTGTTGTCTCCAAGGTGGTGGCATTTCTTACACAGACTGCATACTCCCTCTACCGTGTCCCCTCCTCACTGCTAGCCTACAACTGGGAGGATTTGGGTAGCAGTTTGTCTGAGAAAGTCCTTTTCCGCCTTTCCATGGTCTCAGGGCCTACAAAGACAGAGCATGCTCCCCCAAGCAGCAAGCTCGCACCCCTGTAACACACACACACACACACACACACACACACACACACACACACACACACACACACACACATCCATGACCCTCCTTTCTGTGCTAAAAATGTCTGCAAGCTTTCTTCTTTGGGTCCCTCCAAAGTAAATGTCATTAGTCATTTTATGATGCTGATCCCTTGCAGCAGGGGAAGGGCAGACCCCCACTCCCACCCCCCAACCAGCTTCCAGTAGTGAAGTTAAGTGCACGGAGGCAAAGCTCTGTTTAGAGACAGAAAAGAACTGCTGGGGCTATGGGCCTTCTGATGTGGGAACAGCGATTCCGCAGGAAAAGACGGTCCCCCTTTACTGTCGCCTGCTATGATTCAAATCCATCCCCATTCCAGTCTGAATACCAAATGCTGATTTTGCATGAAGATGTAACATAATTCACCTCTGTTCAAGATGCCAGATTTCCAGAGGTGAATTCTGTCACATCTGTAACAGCCAGGGGGCCCGATGCCCCACCCTCAGCTGTGCTCTGCTGGGCAGGGCCCACAGGACTTGCGCCTATTTGACCTTCACACCTGCCACCTTAGGAATGGTCAGAGACTAACACCTTGTCCTCCTGGAACAACAGAGAGGCTTTAGGGACAGTGTATAATTAATTGAGCTGCTTTTGGCAAAGATGCTGGGCTGATCGGTTTGTCCATCTGTCTAACTTCCTGCCCACACCACAGATCAGTCTCTCTGTCCATTGCTATTTATGCTTTGGTGCTGCTGACAGTGCACTTTACCTCGGCTTCAAAGGCGCCAATCTCGGTGGTGCAGGGAGATACATTCCAGTTAAAAATAGAGCTGCCTAGGAATCAAAAACTCCTCCCTAACTTCTCTGTCTCAAAACTGGGCTTGGCAAAGGGGCTAAGAGCGAGAGAACTATGAGGCTTCTGGAAGCATTTAGAGCTTAAAAGCTGGGTTGAAGGAAAAATTACAGTACATCTGAGTTTGTTTTCCTGGAGCCCAGTGAATGGGTTTTCTTTGGACTGCCTGAGGACCCCAGAGCTTGTTTAAGCCTGGCAAGTCCACTCACCACCAGCCCCTTTCCATGCACTTCCCATCCTAGGTTGTGGAAGACTGATTATTGCCTTCTGCCAGCTGGGCACATTGAAGCCCAGAGAGGGCAAGTAATTTAGCCAGAGTTACACAGGAGAAGCCAAATGGGATAATCTGTGAAACATTTGACTCCAACTCCTGATAATCCAGCAACGGACGGTTAAGTGGCGTAATTTATTAAAGTGTCCTGAAAACTGTGAAGTGTTATATAAATCTCGAAATTGCTATTAGCCACTGGGTTGCACAGATGCAGTGGAAGAAGCGTGGCCCTGGGGATGGACAGGAGCTGGTGGCTCAGCCTGCATGAGGCTTTCCCTTGATCTTCACCTTGCATTTCTGGCAGGTGCACTACTAACTTCCTCCAGTGGGTTTCACACCACCTCAGCCCCGGGCCATAGCTCTCTCTCAATCCTGAGGCTGTCTTGGTAAAGCCAAGCTCTCACCTTGACTGTATTCTAGTTCTGAGAAGGACTTTAGTATGTCCAGACTTTCCTAGGACCCCTTAGACTCTTTGGGATTAAGTGTTCTTTCTTTGTTTCTGCGATGTCCAGAAAGCACTTAGCACGGATCCTGAACCATAGAATGTGCTCCTCTAATGCTGGTTTCTTCCCCCTCCTCCCATCCAACCCAGTCTGCCAGTGTCAGGACTGGGCACCTGCTCCCAGAGTCACTGACACCCTCAGCTAGTCCCTGTGGACCACTCCCAGTTGCAGGACCCTCCCCTACAGGCATCTACCCTCTGGGTCTTGGTCACTGCTTTGACCTCAGCTTGTCCTTTCTTCTTGGGACAATCTCCATGTCTTAAATCTGTTTTCTAGACTCATCTCCCTCTGTGTCCTGCTTTAGATCACACTTGTCTTTGCAGATTGCAGCCTCCACTCCTTCCTGGGCCCAGGTCTTGCTTACCAAGCCCTCCCTGCCTCCATTCCAGCCTGCCTGTGCCAGCTAGCTTGGAAACCAGACCTGTGGTTACTGTCTGACTTTGCTGAGGCTGGGAGGAAATCACCTCTGGTGTTTACTCTCCATTTCTATGGGACTTTCTTCCAAGAACTGAGGAGTCCCTGTGTCTGGATGGCACAGAACTTCCCCGACGCCGTTGCCATGTTGAGTAAATACAATCTGGATGCTGCTGACCATTCACATAGTAGAAGCTTTGTGCGCAGACCAGAGTCAGGCTCTCCCTCCCTCCCTGGCTCTGCCCTGTCTCTCCACCCACCTCCTTGGTCCAAGGTCTGAGAGTCTAACAGTCTCTGGGCCATGGTTTAGAGAAACAAGGCACCTGTGGAGGCCTCATGGTCCACAGCTTGAGAGGAGAAGCAGTGAGAGGGTTCTGCCTGAGGGCTGAGGAACCCTTGCTCTTGGCTGAAAAGAACGTTCTCTTGCTCACCAGAAACAGGCCAGAGAACCCAGAGCCTGAAAGGTATAAGGTCTGCCTGCTTCTTAGCTCCTCCGGAACTGGCTCTGAGACAGTCATATAGGGTGCCCACCTCCTTCCAATACAATCATGCTAGAACCAGCACTTCAACAGGATCAACACGGTCTCTGTGGGATGCTGCAGTGTCTCCAGAATCTTCCTTTACACTCTTACCTCATCCCCAACCCTTCAATTCATCCCAGTGTTTGACCATTACCTATCTACCTACCCAGAGCACCTCCTATGTGGGAGGCCCTGTCCTTATAGCAGTTGACATATTTTCTATAAATCTTACCTCTTCTAGAAGAGGTAACTGGGGGCCAGAGTTGTGGGTGACTTGCTACTCAAGTTAGTAAGTGCTGGCATGAGAAGTTTCTAGATTCTGAAGCTCTAGTTCTTTCCACGCCAACATGCTATACTATACACCTTTCCTGAAAGAGTTATCTTACGGTTTTCTTTCAGTAAACACTTTCTGTTCTAGGCCCTGGGGTATAACAGTGGGCACGACATAGCTCTTGACCTTCAGGAGTCATTCTTCTAGCAAGAGAAGCAAACGGTAAACAAATACACAGAGAAACACATAGATAATTTGTTAAATGCTGTGAGAAAGATAAAATAGGGCACTTCTCCATGGGAGTGTGGGAAGACATCTCTGAGGAGGGTCATCTGAGTTGAACCCCAGCTGGGGAAAGAGAGGAGGAGAATTGTCCTGAGCAGAAGCACCGATAGTGACAAAGGCTGAGGGACAGAGAAAGAGAAGTGTGGCAGGGACACGCTGTGCACAAGAGGGGTGGGGAGAGAAAAGATGAGAGGGCATGGGGCCAGCACGTGGGGCCTCGTGGACTAGAGCAAGCAGTTGGTATTTTACTCTGAGTGAGTGTGACTCCATGTGGAGGGCTTCAAAGAGGGATGCGAGCTGAGTCACACATCCAGAGGCTGCCTGTGGAGGGTGGACAGCAGGGGAAGCAGAGAGAGTGGAGCAGGGGCTGGCAGTGGTCTGGCTGAGAGGTGGTGGTGGAGTGGACCAGACTTGCAGCAGGGGATGGTGAGGAGGGGAGGGCGTGGAGGTGGGACTGCTAGGAATTACTGATGCCCTGGGTGTGGAGAGGGAGGGAAGAAGGGACTGAAGGATGGCTCCTGGATGTTTGACTTGGACAATGGGATGCATGGGTTATTTTCTCCTGGGTTGGGAGGGCTTGCTGAGGTGAGAGATGTGTGACAGGGCCTGGCGCGTAGGAAGTGTTCAATAATTG